TTCAATTAATTACTGTGAAGAACAATAGCTTGATCGAAATATATATTTCTCGAATTTTAAAGTGTTTTGATCTGATAGTAAAACGGTAGAAAATTTGAAAGACAAAATTTAATAGAATATCCTTTGAATAAAATATAAGAAAAATATTGATCACTTACACACTGAAATAATACTAATACGAAAATCACTACTGCAGTGTAAAATTGTTTTTACATACTCGGAAACAATACTTATTCAGTGTAGTAGCTTTTACTTTCTCAAAGTGATATGCCAGGAGACTGAGAATTTTACATTTTGAATGCAACTTTTTGCAATAAATATGAGTTAAATCAGGGTTATTTTCAGGATCGTACTAGACACAGTTATGGTTTACAATTTTCATTTGGAAAAAACTAATTTTTTTAAATTTTAATATACGAAATAAGCTGTGCCGTCTAAAATTCCTTCGTTCGTAGAACTACCCTTATATTAAATACATAAAAATCATTCATTTTAATATTATTTTATTCAATATCAATGCAATGATTTAAGAAATTTGCTTGAATAGTCAAATATTTTTTTTAATACTATGTATATAAGAGACACTTTTGATATTAATAGTGGTTAATATATCAAATATTAAATGTGGAAATTCATTTTCCATTTGAACCAACCATAAATTACCTCAAGTTAATGAGGAAAAAATTGTTGCTGTTGTTACACCCTCGCCGGGAATCGAAGCAATGCTCTGACTACTAAGCTACGAGAGATGACATTGGTGAGTAAAGCCAAAGGTGTCGAGTTCGATTCCCGGCGAGGTATTGACAACAACAACAACTTTTTCCTCATTAACTTGAGGTAATTTGTAGTTGATTCAAATGGAACATGAATTTCAACATTTAATATTTGATTCTTATTTTTATTAATTTAAAACGGAATAATGGGCCAAAACGTCAGTTTTACCTATATTTTACATACTATTTTTAGGGGATTTACCAATCACCTAAAATTATAAGTAAAAGTCTACGTAACATGATTAAAATACAACTACTAAAAAAGTAAATTAACTTCTGGAATAATTTTATTTCTAACTTAGGGTTTAATAAAATGCAATGTAAAAGCACATAATAAGTTGATACGAAAGATTATTAATTTAGATGTGATGGCATACCTGATTGCGAGGGCGAGGAGGATGAATTACAGTGTGAAGAAGAAGAGAAAAAGTGCGAAGATTTAAAGAATCACGTAAAATGCCCGCAATCTGGAAAATGCATCTCAAAAGATTGGCTTTGTGACGGTGATGATGACTGTGGTGATTTTTCTGATGAAACACACTGTGGTAAGCATCGCACTGTATTTGGCAGTATTGATGAATATTACAAAATTTCTCAAAAAACTGGAACGGCAACGTTTTTGAATTTTTATTTGTTTGAAATAATTTCATAAGAAATAAATGAATTAAATTCTGAGGCGATTTAAATTTTAATAATTTATTTGTAACTTTTAATATGTTGGATTGGTTTTTGGCTTTTAGGAGGGGTAGTTAACTGCACCGACGACCAATTCGAATGCACTAATGGCCTATGTATACCCTTTACTTGGGTTTGTGATAACGACAATGACTGTAAAGACTTTTCCGACGAAATTGGCTGTAACAAAACTGAGTAAGATTTTCTTTTGTTCTACAAAATATATATTTAAATAAATTAAAAGAGACTCACTCTAATTTATCAGTCAATACTGGGGCAACAAATATTTCGCCCACTTTATAATCAGGATATCGCGTTGATAATGTCCACATTAGAAATGGGCGAAAAACTGCAGTCCGCAGTTTATAATTTTAGTGGTAATTAAGACGAGCCTCTGTTAGTTTATTTATTCCTTTATCACGTGTCAATTTTCTACTTTAAATAAATTTTTATTTATCTACCATCGACTTTACTGAAAAGGCAAAAAAAAATGCATTTGATGTTTTTAATTCCGGGTTGTTGTCCTTTTTTTAATAATTTGTTTCCTATTTGCATTCAACAAACAATATCATTTTTTATACCCTAAACTTCTTTGTAATATTTGGGGATTAAGTATATGACATCACCCCAATTAGGCACCATTAACGTTGTTCACAGCTAGGGTTGCCACCTTTTCAGGATTTACATAAAGTATTTCTCAACTAAAAGGTTAAAAAAAGTACTCGGCATAAAAATAAAGTACTTAATTTTTTGTTTTTAAAAACATATTTTTTGTTACACATAGCAGCCAGTAACAAATTGCTGTCCCTGTTAAATACATTAGTAGCCTCTAAAGATGGCAAACAAAGATTTAAGTAAACTAAAAGTTCATTTTTAATTAGTTTTAATGAAGCTTTATTCCTGTCGTCCCGCCACTTTGCGTTCATAACAGAGAATACTCTTTCTGTAAATGCTGAAGTGGCCGGAACGGACAGCAAAAGTGACACTACTTTGAA